ATGGAAGCCCATAGGAAGGCGAAAAAAAGGAAGGCCCAGAACGAGATGGTTGGATGACGTGGAAGACGACCTGAAAACAATGAACATAAGACAATGGAGAAGAAGGGCACAAGAGAGATCTGAATGGAAGGACATAGCCAGACAGGCAAAGACCCATCCAGGGTTATGATGCCAAAAGAAGAAGAAAATACAGGATTGGAATAAAATATGAAACCAAGTAAATTTTTTGTAGTACTATCCTTCCAGTTTCACTGGAAATACCTTCAACTTATTTAATTTAAATAGGACACTCTGTATATTTTGCAGATTTTAAAAATTCTTATGATTTCAATGATCGCAGATCCAGATTAACCCTAGAAAGACCAAGGGTGGATAAAAAGTATGCATCGCATTACGATTTTCTAAATACCTTTGTTCCTAAAAATCTCAAATAATTAGTAGTGGTTTGCATACTACTTCGCCATTAGATGCCATAATTTAATTCTTCTCCTTTTACATTTATAAAAACTTTACGGTGGACTACAAATAACCCCCCTTGGTGCATTACAGAACTGACAGTTCTATTTAACATGTAACTTTTAGTTTAAAAAAGTAAAAATTTTGAATTTCGTTCAGGTAAAATTACAATGCTGAGAATATAAATTCGAACCAGCTAAGCCTTGGTGCAATTATACTAAAGAGCAATTAAGTCTAGGAATAAATAAGGATCAGGTCGGTGAGATATCAACACGAGAAGCAGAAAGAAGACATGTAGTATCAGCACGTATAATTGATCTCTATCTATCTATCTAATTAGGCTTCTTCGGTCCATCTTTGGACATAGGCCTCCCCAATCCTTTCCATTCTTCTCTGTCTGTCGCTACAGTCATCCACCTAGAGCCCACGTGCTTCTTGATATCATCTGCCCATCTCATTTGGGGCCTTCCTCTACTTCGTTTATATTCCCACGGTCTCCAACTTATAAGAATTTTGTTCCATCGGTCTTCTTTTTGTCTTATATTGTGTCCGGCAGATCTCCATTTTAATTTTGCAACTTCTTGTCTAACATCCCTCACTTTTGTTTTCTCTCTTATCCACTCGTTTCTCTTTTTATCCATTAGTCGTATGTGCAACATTTGTCTTTCCATTGCTCTTTGGGTTTTTATGATTTTGTCCATGTTTGCTTTTGTAAATGTCCACGTTTGGGAACCATAAGTAAGAACAGGGAGTATGCATTGATTGTATAAGTTGGTCTTAAGATGCTGTGGATATCTTTTGTTTTTAAGAATGTAGCTTAGTTTGCCAAATGCCGCCCATGCCAGTCTAACTCGTCTCTTTATCTCTGCTGTTTGGTTGTCTTTGTTAAGTTTTATAGTATGACCAAGATATATATAACCCTGAACTTGTTCTATTTCATCTTGTCCGATTCTCATTGTGATGTCTTCATCTGTATTTTTTATGTTTTTGGTCTTGCTGTAATTCATATTAACGCCTTTCCAGCTTCTACGTCCAGTTCTTTCACCATTTCAAATATTTTTTTTTTATCAGTTATCAATATCTTATCAATATCAGCGTACCTTAGATGGTTCAAGCGTTGTCCACAAATTTGTATACCTTTTCTTCCCATTCTAATCTTTTAAAAGTATCTTCAAGAGCCTGATTGAAAAGTTTCGGTGATATTGTATCACCCTGTCTCACGCCTCTATTTATTTGTATTGATTTTGTTCCTTCATATACTTTAATTGTTGTTTTGGCTTCCTTTATATATATATATATATATATATATATATATATATATATATATATATATATATATATATATATATTATATTGGCTATTAGTTCCGTATATCTGTGGTCAATTCTGCTGTTAATCAAAGAACTTTTCACTGCCCAATGTTCGACTCTGTCGAAAGCCTTTTCGAAATCTATGAACGCCATGTATAGAAGAATGTGGTATTCATTTGCTCGTTCTATAAGTATTTTCATACGTAGTAAATGGTCACTTGTGCTGAATCCCTTTCTAAAACCAGCTTGTTCTTTCGACTGGTATCCATCGAATTTTGTCGTCAATCTATTGGTTAAAATTTTTGTTAGGAGTTTATACATTACATTGAGGAGTGTTATAGGACGGTAGTTTTTTATATCTGCTTTATCCCCTTTCTTGTGTAGGATAATGGTTACTGATTCCTTCCAGTTGTTTGGGATTCTTTTTTCTTTTAATATCTTATTAAAAAGGGGATGTAGAGTATTAATTACCACTTTTCCACCATATTTCAGCATCTCTGCAGTTATTCCGTCTTTTCCAGGCGATTTGTTGTTTTTCATTTCTTTCAATGCCTTCTTTATTTCTGATTTGCTTATTTCTGGCTGTAGCTCTGAGTTGACATTTTTTATTTTAACCTTAAGTTGGTTTTTAATTTCTTCTGGTGGTTCCGTTTTTGTTTTATATAATTCTAAGTAGAAATGGTGGATTATATTTCTGATGTCATATTTAACGTTTGTTTCTACTCCATTTACATCTTTTATTTTGTTTATTTCAAACTTACCTAATTTCGGCCTTAAGCATTTCATATTTTTGTTGTTTTGTATTACTTCTATTTTTATTTCTTGTTCTTTTCTCTTATTCTCTTTTATCATTCTGCTTATTGTTTTATTGATTTCTACATATTCTATAGATTTCCTTTTGCCTTCTTCGTTCAGCTTCCTTCTTTTATCCATAAGCTTCTTTGTTTCTGTTGATATATAGTTGTTCTTTTTTAGATCCTTTTTTGCTATTTCTTTTCCTGATGTAATCATTGTTGCTGTAAGTATGTTGTCTATTTCGTCTATATCTTTATCATCACTGTCTAATTTTTGGGTAAGTTGTTCTTTTAATAGGACTTTGTATATCTCTTTATATTGCCCTAGTTTGTTTCTATCTACTAGATCGCAGTTTCTACTTATTTTTCTTTTCATCTCATAGTTACCGTCAATACTAATTTTTGCTCTGACCATCCTGTGATCGCTACCTGTTGTGAATCTATTAAGAATATCTTTAATGATATATCGTTCCGTGGACAGTATGAAGTCGATCTCATTTTTTGTGGATCCATTAGGGCTAATCCATGTCCACTTTCGTTGGGGCTTGTTTTTGTAAAAGGAGTTCATTGCGTATAGATGCTTTTCTTCTAGGTAGTTCATCAAAGTTTCACCTTTATCATTTCTCTGACCATACCCAAAATCACCTATTTTAGTTTCTTCTTTCTACTTATATGTAATAAAAATAATGTTTTAAATTGTTTCGGGTATTCTCGGAAAGGACACTGAGAGGAGACTTGTCAATCACATTAAATGTCTTTGTAGAGCTGGATTTGCATCTGATCGTAATGCTGTCCGAATTTTGGCTTTTAATTTTGCTGAAAAGCTGATAAAGCATACTTTTTCTGCACAACGTGGAAAAGCTGTAAAACAATAGTTTGGAAGTTTTATAGAAAATAACCCAGATCTTTCCCTACGAAAATCAGAGGGATAGTTATTAGCAAGAGCTGAAGTAATGAATAGGTCAGCAGAAGTAGGCAAATTTTTTAGTTACTAACAAAAAGTTTAATTGAAAATAATTTAATAGATCATGCAGCAAAAATTTTTAATATAGATGAGTGCGGAATTCATATGATAAATAAACCATCCAAAGTGATAGCCCCCAAAGGAGCAAAGGATGTACATACATTGACATCTAGTGAAAAAGGAGAAAACGTAACGGTAATTGGTTGTTGCAATGCTGAAAGAATGTTTCTTTCGCCGGTAATAATCTTGAAGAGAGTTAACTGAAATCCAGAATTTTCTGATGGTCTACCTGCTGGTTGTTTGGTTTACATGAATAAGAAGTTTTCTTTTATAAAATCCACAAGGAAAATAATTCCTGCAGCTGGCTGTATAACACGTATCACAAAAAAGAGGTTAAATCTTTGTAAATGGGTATATTTAAAAACTCTTAAAAGGGCTACATTAAAAAACACGAACGTTTTCGGAATAATAATTCCATCATCAGGTTAAAAATGCCTAAAATAAGTATAAAACATTTAATTAAGTAAACGTGGTTTAAAATTTAGACTAAGATTAAAAAGGGCAAAATGGTTATACTTACAGGTTAACATGCCTGAGCCAACAAAATATTAAGGTAAAAACCCTTTAAAATATGTATATGAGGTTAACAAAGATTGCTATTAATATTTGATGTTAAATATTTAATTAAATTTTACTTTAGGTAACATACACCCTTGCTTTAAGTGAGTTCCAGCGTAGGAGAGTAAACCTCTTCAAACGGACTTTAGCTGGTAACTGATTGACAAGATACCTATGAACGGTGTCGAAAACAAAATATCAATGTACCATGAAACAATAAAATTTAATTATTTAATTTTGGATATAAAAGATGTAAAATTACCGATGTTCTTAAAGGTCATGTTTAAGAGAATGACGTATGCATTAGGCAGCCTATGTTACTCTTTGTCGTATGGAGTGTGGTCTAAAAAGTGTAATTTGTGACAGATTAGCTTAGATATATGAAATTGTCCTTTTATGTTGCTCACATCTAGGACAGGGTAAAATTGAATAGTATATATTTGTAGCTAATATAAGACCTCGTATTTAAATAAAATTGTTTAAGACTGCTCGTATGGTAAAAAAGGTTAATATAAGCGAGTTTAATAAATTATGGTTTATACTTATTTTAGGCATTTTTAACCTGATAATAGAATTATTATTCTGAAAACGTTCGTGTTATTTGATGTAGCCCTTTTAAGGGTTTTAAGGGATTTAACCTCTTTTTTTTCTTTTATAACATCCGTTTCATTCATAAAGGTACTTCTTGTAATCTCTTCCTCGACAACAACATACTCTATTATTTGTTTTTATGTATTACCTAGAATCAAGAACAACACTTACCTTTATGCTTATTAATAACAATTTTCCATTTGAGCTTTGGATTCTTCTTCGACTCAACACTTTGATCGTCAACGTTCGCATTTGTTTCTTTGATATTTGGCAGTTGTTCGCCCATCATATTTAACTGAAATCAAAAATAGCAACAAGATAACAGACAAAAAACATACGAAATGTTCACAAAGTTGGAATCAATTTAACGATATCCTCTTCTTTTCTGTGAATTCTAATCTTGTGATCAAATAAGGTTATCTTCCTAGATTTTCTGTGGAGAATTTTGCTTTTTTGCTGGTGTACTTTTTGATTCGTTTCGAGCACTTCTTTATGTTTTATCTTTACCACTAGAGACTGGTCGGAATATATGTCACATGTTTTATTCTATTTTGTGTTTTGCTTTATTAATTATTTAATTCATAACACTTTTCGGTCTTGAGTTATACTATAGGAGAATGTGGGACAAAACGAGCACTCAGAACAAAGCGGATTTTCCCCACCATGCCTAAAACGGAGCGCCGCTCGAATGAAAGCGAAGATGTGGTTAAGCGTTTGCTAAAACTTGATTGATATGTCTTTCTTGTTTTCTTTAGTGAACCACCTGATTATCGATTTATTTCTACCATGCGGTCCAAATGTATGAAATAAATTCATTTTTAGCGTTATTAAGTACTATGTGAAAATAAACCTGAAACAGGTCGATTTTTATTCTTAAATTGACAATTTACAGTATGAAAATAATATCCCCTCCAGCACCCCCTTTGAATTATAAGCCCCCTTCTCGAAAATTTTAAATAGCAAAGGGGGTCGTGTAGTACCTTGTTAGAAAGGGATTTTAGTCCTCTGTTCAGTAATATTAAGTTTTTTAAGTTTGGTGCAATAATAACCTAGAAACTTAATTTTTAAAATGTAAAACTGTGATAATGTCTTTACCACAAAACTTTAGGTTGAATGAAGATAATAATGTCACATAATATTTAGAATGTATTTTTCAATGTACTTTACAATTAAATTAAATGTTCAAAATGACCACTATTCACTTTTTGACAATACCCGAGGCGATTTTGGAATTCTCGTACAACATTTTGTACGACTCCGGGAGTTATTTTGTTAATTTCTTCCGTTATCCCAACTTTTCAATCAGCAATACTGTTTGGTCTAGTAAATTATACTTTAGATTTTAAATAACCCCATAAGAAGTAATCGAGAGGAGTCAAATCGAGGGATCTAGCCGGCCATTCGATTGTTCAACGTCTTCCAATCCACCTATTGGGAAAAACCTCGTTTGAATAATTTCTAATTACAAGTGCAAAATGCGGTAGAGCTCCACCTTGTTGGTAGTAAAAAGGTCCATCTATCTAATTGGGATAGATTATAGATCATTAGGAAAAAATCTTCGTAATGTAGGCACTAAAAAGTTAATCAAAAAATCTAGATAAACGTCATCATCAACTGCGCCATCAAAAAAAATAAGAACCAATAATTTTATTGTTAATAATACTAGCCCAATCGTTAATTTTTTAGGATATTGCGTGTGAGTCTCACACACTCAGTGAGGATTTTCTCTGCTCCAATATCTACAGTTCTGTTTGTTAACCGTTCCGTTTAAATGAAACGTCGCTTAATCAGAAAAAAACTATTTTGATTATGAACTGCAAATCTGCGTTCATTCTGTCATCATCATTTTACAGAATTCTTGCCTTCTATCAGGATCATCTTCATTTAACTCCTGAACCAACTGAACTCTGTAAGGGTGGTATTTTTTTTATGTAAAACTCTCAAAGTAGATGATTTACTTACATCATTGATGGCGGCAAGTTCTCGAGTTGTCTTATGGGGATTTTCCTCAATCTCTAGAAGGACATCTAACTTTCTTTCATCAATAAATTTATTATTTCTGGTTTTTCAATTTTTTTTACATGTCCAGTATAACAAAAGTTCTTTGCAATCGTGCTAACTTTAGACTACGAAAGTTGTTGACCAGGGTATTCATTATTAACATTTCACAAACCTCCTTTTGACCTCTTGTTTTATTACCATAACCAATCATAGTTAAAATGTCTATTCTTTTAGTCTCGGACATATAAGCCATACTTAAATTTAATACGCGCACAAATATTATACTCACGTCTTCTAGTAACCTTAAATACCAAAATGACAGCAGCCTACTACATTCGTATCAATTGTTTATTTGGATTTTTGACTAATATTTTATTATCTTCAAAGTTTTTTCCCTAATCTTTAGCAGAACAGATACGAAAATACCTGTTTTTTTCTAAAGTATATTTTAATAAACCATGCAATATTGCTGATATATTGCTTGGTTTATTAAAATATACTTTAAAAACCTGAAAATGTTCTATGAGAATTCCAAAATCGCCTCGATTATTGTCAAGAAGTGAATAATAGTGGTCAAGTTGAACATTTAATATTGTAAAAATTAATTTTGTAAGTTATAATTGCACAGACTCAAAAAACTTTATATTGCTGAACATGACTAAAATCCCTTTCTAACAAGATGCTACACGACCCCTTTTACTATTTAAAAGGGGGTGCTGGAGGTGGATATTATTTTCATACTGTAAATTGTCACTTTAAGAATAAAAATCGACCTGTTTCAGGTTTTTTTCACACAGTACATAATAACGCTAAAAATGAATTTATTCCATACATATGGATCACATGGTATATGTCCAGTTTGCTCCATATGCGTGTCCATTTTACCCTACATATCAAAGTGGGCTTTTTTTAACTTTTTTTATAAAAAATATTCGTGAATCATTGAATAATGAGTTAAGATTTATTTATTTGGATGAATGAAATCTAAATTGAACGATGCTTTTTATGAAAAAAAAATGTCAAAATATAAAGCGATGGTGATTTTTTTAGTCTTAGAGGAGTCACTTTGCCCCACATTCCCCTACACCCGTAATTTTTTGGTCTTGTTCTTTATAGTTTCTCCTTTAATACTTTAACATGGAGAATAGAATAGGGCTACCTCAGCGTGGGATAATTTTGATGGTGTAGATGGTGGCTGACAGCTGTCATGTCACCTGTCAACTCTCAAACGTGGAAATGGCGTCAATTCTTCTTCGTTTCGTCTGTCATCCTTCAAATGTGAATATGGCGTCAATCTTCTTTTCGTCTGTCATCTCCCAAACGTGAATATACAGAATAAATAAAAAAATCATATCTTCGTTGTTATGGCTCATTCTTCATGTTAAATCTTTATACATTATAAGTCAAATTGCAATGTATTAAAAGTATTTCTGGAATCAAAATTCGCATAAAACAAAAAAAAAAACATATTGATAATGGTATACTTACATCTAAAACATATCGAATCCACATTAAGCCATATTAGTTCTGTTTTTAGTACGTGGTGGAAAATACCAAATCATAACATATCAACACGAAAAAGTAAATAAAATAAAGAGCTAAAAAGTATAATTTTAGTATGTTTCTAAAAATGATTATAAAAGAATTGTTTTAGTCTTATATAGGTAATTAAAAACAATGCATTAACGTCCAATTAAAGTTCTCATAAAAATATTATACAGGGTGACCCGATGGATCACCGTAAAATTCCTCTTTCATTTCTGCATTCGTTTTCTCTGATAGTGCGTGTATGTTCACAAGTGAAATATTCCTAGAATCCATAATATTGCTAAAATTGCTTCAAGCTCAACAATTAACTAATTTAATTTTTTGTTTATTAGAAAGCCTATATCAACATTCTATTTGTACCGCCACTATTAATAAAGAATCTATATGTTAAGTTTAATCTGCCCTAACTGCCTAGTTTCCTTTAAAACCATAATATCAAAATTGAATTTATTTACTTCTGCAGCCAAGTATTTTATAGCTGTCGTTCCTCAAACGACCCTCTTTCACGTTCCTGTCTGTATATATACTTCTTTTCATCATCATCATCATATAACGGGGGTCCTACGGCGATTGCCGCTTCCCGCATTTCAGACTCCTTTTTTTCCTATCTCTCCAATCTCCCTCTTCTAAGCCTCTAGATTGCATTATTTTTGTAATTTCTCTTCTCCAGGAATTTGGTGGTCTTCCCCTTTTCCTTCTTTCTGGCGGAACATACATTAAGGCTTTCTTTGGCCACCGCTCCTCCTCCATTCTCATCACGTGACCATACCATTGTAATTGCCTTCCTTGTATTCTATCTGAAAGAGTATCTCTAATTCATGTACGGTTTCGTATTTCCTCATTACTGATTCTTTCCATTCTCGATACTCGACATGACCTTCTAAGATAATCCATTTCCACAACGTCTACTTTATCTCGTTCATTCTTTGTCATCGTCCAACATTCGGCACCATATGTGGTAATCGGTTCTACAATTGCTCTGTATACACGAAGTTTGGTATGCATCTTTATTTTATTAGACCACAGTAATAAATTCAGTATTCGCATGCATTTTTTTCCTTAGGTTATTCGGTTTTGTACATCCATCTTAACTCTGCCATCTTATGATGATGATGCTTCATATCATCATCTTATGATGATGATATGAAGCATCATATCTGCTGATATGATGCTTCCTAGATATTTATACTGGTTGCAACCTTTTATGACTGCGTTTTCAAGCCTCAAATCTGTGGTATTTCCTCCAATTTTTAAATATTCTGTTTTGATTATGTTTACAGTAAGCCCCCATTTGGCATATTCCTTAAATAATTTTCGATTCATATAATTTATATCTTCCTCATCGGTTGCAACCACCACCTGATCATCTGCAAACAACAATGTATACAGAGTTTCTTGTCCCACTTCGATGCCCATAAATCTACATTTATTTCTCCAATTCCTCAATGCTTCTTGGACGTATATTTTAAAGAGTGTCGGTGACAAACAGCATCCTTGCTTTAGGCGTTTAGTGACTTTAAATTCATTTGAAGTTCTGGTTCCAATTTTTACACAACTAACTGCATTTTCGTACAATTTATATATCGCTCGGATATACGTCGAATCCAATCCGGACCTTTCGAGGACCTCAAACATTTTCTTTAACGGGACACTATCATATGCTTTCTCAAGGTCTATAAATACCAAATGGGTCTCTCTACTTCTTTCGACACGCTTTTCAATTATTTGTCGTAGGATGAATATATTATCAAGGCAGGATCTCCCGGTACGAAAGCCGCTTTGTTCTTCAATATCTTGTATCTGTCTTTCAACCCTCTTCTTTAATATTCTGCCGTACAACCGGTCCACAGAGCTCGTCACACTAATACCTCTATAATTGGAACAGTCTCTTTTATTCCCTCTCTTATATATGGAGCTTATATAAGATTTATTCCAATCTTTAGGAATTATCTGGTCTCCACACATACATTTATTAAAAAGGTCTACTATTAATTCTAAAAGTGCAGTCGGCCCATATTTAACCAGCTCTATGAGAATGTCTCCAAGCCCTGCGGCTTTTCCGTTTTTAACCTCTTTTAAGGTTTCCGTCAATTCAGATAATGTTATTATAGGGATTTCCTGTCTTTCGTCTCTGTTATCTATTAATTCCCTTATCTTGTCCCATCTGTACTCTACTCTATCCTCTTTCAGCAGTTTCGTATAATATTCTTCCCATTCATTTAACTTTATGAGAGGAATGTTCTCTTCATTTTTCTCATTTTTCCTAAACTGCTTTAATGTTTTCCAAGCTTGTGCCACTTTTGTTCCACCCATAAATCTGTCCAGTTCATCACACTTAGCCTCCCAGTTTACATTATTCGTATATACTTCTTTTACTAAACCGTTTTTAAACCAGCGATGGTTCGTAGAGAATTAAATTGAACCACGAGCTGGATGAACTAATGCAAAGCGCAGATATTGTTAGATTAAAGATAGTTATAAAGTCACAAAGACTAAACTGGCTTGGTCACCTAGAAAGAATGCCAAATAATCGAGCTGTAAAAGTAGTCCAGAGATGGAAGCCCCAAGGAAATAGAACAAAAGAAAGGCCTCGTAAAAAATGGATAGACGACATAGAGAGGGATCTTAAAACGATGAACATCTGGAAGTGGCGAAGGAAAGTATCCGACAGGGCAGAATGGAACAACATTGTTAAGCAGGACAAGACTTACAAAGGGTTGTAGCGCCATTAGAAGAAGAAGAAGACTAAACCGTTTTTATTTTTTGCTACACTATGTTCTTCTTTTTCCTTTTCCACAGCTTGTCAATAGCGTTGCTTTACTTTACTTTTAACTTTGCTTTATCACTTTCCATTTTATTTGTTTTTTTTTAAATATCTTTGCTTATTTTTTCTAGTCTGTCTTTTCTCGATTCCATTTTCATATTTCATTCTCGATAAAAATCTTTGAAATCTAATCTTAACATACTTTTCTTTTGTTCTTTCGCCCTTCCTTCGATTTTTTCATTAACGTTCTTCAAATTATTTTTATTTTTAATAATTGCTATTTTTTCTTCTCTACTACTTAACTCAACCAAACATGTTTTATCTCCCAACTGTTACTGTTATTTCAGCTCCTGTTTCTTTCCTGATAAAATTTTTCATTTTCTCCTGCAATTCTTGCTGCACGTTATTTTTTATTGTGAGTCCTTGTACTTCTATATTTTTTACTCGTTTTCCCTTTCTATTTTTCCACTTTTTCTTTCATCAAAGCTCTCTTTTTTAGTTGCTCCATTTTTTTCTTGGCTTATTTATTGACTTTGTTCAGATCTTTTCAGACTTTGTTGATAATAAAAGGCAAAATAGAAGGAAAGCGAGGAATTGGAAGAAAAAAATTGTCCTGGTTACGTAATATCAGAAACTGGACAGGACTTGGATTTGAGGAACTCTTAAGAGCAGCTGAAGATAGACAAACGTTTGCCACCATAACCGCTAACCTCCATTGATGGAGACGGCACTTGAAGAAGAAGAAGATCTTTTATTTCTTTTTTATATTCTTTTTGTTTTTCTTCAATCTTCTTGATCTCCTCGCCTATATTTTTCATATCTTTACCCTGTTCATGTAGGTCTTCTTTTATTTTCTTCACGTGATTCGTTTTATCATTTTTATCATTGTTTCTTATGAGCTTTTCTTCTTTTTTTGGTGTTCATTGTGTCTTTTTTGATCTTTTAAATATATTAACTTCTGACTCATCTATTATGTAGCTTTCCTCTTAACTTCATCTGAAAATTTCTATATAGTTAAGGAAAAAATATGACTCTTTCTTTGGTGATTGATTATGATAGTTAAGAAGAGAAACATATTCTAAATGACACAAAAATCCGAACGATCAGTAAAAGATGTTTTGTTTCGTTAAAGTTATTTGTATAAATATAGGTATAGAGAAATACTATAATGAAATGATCTTTTACTAAGATTCGCATTTCTGTCACTAAAAATATATCTTCTAAGTCAGCATGGAAAAACATGCACATTATTTTTATATATAGATATATAAAAATTGATATATGACACCAGATATTATAAACCTCATAGAAGAAAAACGAAAATACAAAAATACAAATAAAGAGAAGTACAAGCAAATGAAGAAACTAGTAGAAACGCAGATCAAGGAAGCTAAAGAACACTGGATGGTAGAAAATTGTAGAGAAATAGAAGAACTTAATATGAAACACGACACACATGGGCTACATAAGAAACTGAAAGAAATTACAGGAAATAATCGGAAGAGAATACCACAAGTTATACGAAACTCCAAGGGGAATCTCCAATTATCAGCAGTAGAAAAACAACAAACTTGGGAGAAATACATCAAGGACTTATTCGCAGATAATAGGGAAGAAATAAATGATACATTACCAACTAATGAAAATCTAAAAATTCTGATATCAGAGGTTAAACAGGCAATTAAAATCTCAAAAAGTGGTAAAGCGCCAGGTCCCGATGAAATTCCTGTAGAGATATTAAAAATCCTGAATGATGAAAATATAGAGTGTCTAACTAAATTATTTAATAAAATATACCACGATGGTCAAATCCGGATGAATGGTTAAAATCTATCTTTTTACCCTTACCCAAGAAAAATAATCCTAAATCTTGCGATGAGTACCGATTAATTAGCCTTATGAGCCACACTTTAAAAATACTACTCAAAGTTATTCAGCAGCGTATATATAAAAAATGTGAAGAACAATTAGACAATACACAGTTTGGATTTAGATGTGGAATGGGAACAAGAGAGGCACTGTGCGCAATGACGGTACTATTACAAAAATGCAGGGAATATAATAAAAACGTATTCATATGTTATATAGATTTCCAAAAAGCTTTTGATAGAGTCCAACATGGTAAACTCATACATGCATTGAAACACATACACCTAGATCCCAAGGATATTAATTTAATCAAAAATCTGTACTACAATCAAACAGCGGTCGTACGGGTGGAAGATAGTGAGACAAACCAGGTGGAAATTCAAAGAGGAGTCAGACAGGGATGTGTGCTGTCGCCACAATTATTTAATGTGTACTCCCAACTAATATTTCAGGAGGCACTATGGGAAAGAACTGAAGGTGTAAGGATTGGAGGGAGCATCATTAATAACATAAGATTTGCAGACGATACCGCAATCATGGCAGAGAATATAGACGATTTACAAACTCTCCTGGAAATCATTAACAGAGAAAGCAAAAAGATGGGACTAACAATGAATATAAATAAAACCAAATACATGGTGATCTCAAAAAACCCTGTTGACAACATACAACTGACATTGGAGGGTAAACCCCTAGAGAGAGTCGACAAATATAAATACCTCGGAGCAATTATAAACTCACAGTTAGATCAAGAGCAGGAGATAAAGGTCAGAATAGAAATAGCTCGAAAAGGCTTTATAAAATACAAGTCAATGTTTACAAATAAGAAATTGAGTATGGCCATCAGATTGAGGTTCGTCGAATGTTATGTTTGGTCGCAACTACTATATGGGGTAGAAGCTTGGACTCTGAAAGCCCAATCTATAAAAAAATTGGAGGCATTCGAAATGTGGCTATATAGGCGTATTTTGAAGATTCCTTGGACTGCAAAAGTCTCAAATGAGGAAGTGTTAAGACGAGTTGGACATGGCAGAAAGCTTATGAACACAATTAAAATAAGAAAAACATCGTATCTGGGCCACATACTCCGAAACGATAAATACTCTCTGCTACAAGTCATCATGCAAGGTAGAGTAGAGGGAAGAAAAGGCTTGGGAAGAAAGAAGAAATCTTGGCTGAGGAATATCAGAGATTGGACTAACCTCAGTGTTGAACAGATATTTCACGTTGCAAAAGATCGAGAAGCGTTTAAAGAAGTGATCGCCAATCTTCGTTGGCGACGGCACAAGAAGAAGAAGAAGATATATATTATTATATATTATATATAGATACTATAATCAATATTATAGTATTTATATTAGCATTCAAAAACTTTTTAAAAATCATACTAAGTTCCATCATATTCACTTCCGGTGATAACTTTCGATGCTGTGGAAATTTAGAAACATTTTTCAGTTTAGTTGGCTTTGAGAAGACATCTACCAAAGACGATCTGTTATCTTTATTGTCAAACTTTGCAAGGTCAGCACCTAAAATAAAGAAATAGTTCCAATAAAAAAAATTGTATTAAGTTAAATGGTTTGTACAACTATTTCATGTCTTTAAAATTATTAACCAATTCATATTTTATAACAATCATTTCTTTCTAGTCATATATTTACTAGCCATAGATCATGACCAAATACCAAGTTTAACACTGCCAACAAAGCCTCCTCGAAATCTCTACGCTTAGGTAGGATTTTTTTCGCTCAGAACTTTTTAAAAATTTTATGCTTGATTTCTGGATTGCATTTTCCTTCTGTGGATGTGGACTATAATTTTAGTGATTATAAGCTTGTCTGTATTTTCAGTAAGGCATTTCCTTTAATTACAATTAAGTCAAAACGTCACAAACCCTGGACTATCAAAGGGGGCGTAGGAAATTTCGACACTAAGCAGGTAGCGACTAAAATTTAATGGCAATTTTCGACACCAGCCCCAATTCCCGTTTTTATCTTACAGGTATATTCGACACCAAATAAATATAGCTGCGACATAAATAAAATACCATAATTAATTAATTTATTTATTTTAATAAAAGTAATGTGCATTTTATTTCTTTATAACTGTAATAATATCTAAATATAATACAACTAGTACCTAATTTTTGTACATTTTACCGTTAATATACTTGTATACAATGATTTATTTGCTATTATAGGAATGATAAGATACAGCTTTTATAAAATCTAACCTACGTATTTGTTGGGATCGTAGTTTATCCATCATTTTCTCCAAAAATGCCAATTTAGCCTTAACAGTAGTATCTTTGATTTTTGCTGGTATATGTAAACTATTTATTTTGACATAAGTGTCTACTTGAAATTCTTTTAACTTTTCAATAAAAATAAAAATAGAAGGATGTGTTGAATAAAAAGAAGAATTAAATCTCGAATGAAAGGATTCTGATTAGACCATATGTGTGGTGGAAATAGAGCGCTATCGAAAATGTAATTTTCCAGTAAATAATCTGCATATATATCAAGTGTTGCGTTTATAGGTTTATATGACATTAAATCATAAAGAAAGCATTCTTCAACTTCTGCTGGATTTAAATAAGTTAAACCAAACGTATGCCTTAACCATTTTCCAATTTCTGAATTTGTATCCTTATATTCTTGTACCAAACCCAAAGATTGAATTTTTTTAAACCAGTTTTGGTGTAAGTGAAAACGGCATCCACTAATTTTTGCATTGGGCCACATATACAATAAAGCACAGTGAATTGCTTTTTCAAAGTCCACAAATATTTCAGTTGGCTCTAATGATAATTGAAATGTTTCAAAAATCTTAGACCTTAATAAAGAAAATAAATTTTTGTATGTCATTGACAATTTGTCCTTTAACAAACAGTATGCTAAAGGAACATAATGTCCATTTTCCAAGCCATGTATAGTAAATAATTGTAGAAAATATTTGGTACTGTATGAAAATGTACCATCCATATACAAAGTTTTTAATTTACACAACAAATGAATATTTGTCTCGCATGAAAATACAATTACATTTAATTCAGGATGATTTAAAAACAAAAAACTTTCATTGCGACGGGTTTTAGGAGAATAATTACTAACCGCGTTATGGACTTCTGATATGCTTCTTGGTAACGGACCTGGTAACAGTTTACGACGACAGTTGTAAATGTTCTTTCTTATGCTAGCTATGTCAGGAACCGTCAGCAAATTGGCATCACACTCAGCAATAGCAGTTCTTGTAATTTTTTACAAGACCTTGCACATTTTACCTACCTACCTGCTTTACGGCGCGGTGTCGAAATTTCCTATAATAAAATTTGACCCTTCGATTACCCCAGGTACAAAGACAATTTGGTGTCGAAAGTTCGCCCGCCGATCAAAGGTATCCGCGTATCAATAAGAATATGCGTTCACTAATTACATCAAAAAATTTACTACCAACTTCTGTCACTGAGTATATCACCAAGTACCAAATAACCTATTCAAAACTTATCAAAACAGCTAAAAAACGTACTATCAAAATTGTCTGAGAGGCTCTAAAAGTGTTGCAGAAGTAGAAGTAGAAGTCCAGAATAAACGATCTTCGAAATAAAACTAACTATTTTACCACAGCAAGATCCCATTTCTTTTAGATCCCAACAAGACCACAACAAGATCCCAATTTAAAAAAAAAAGTTTCATACGACCAGTTGATAAATCTAAACTGATCGAAACAATCAATAGTGTCGAAAGCAAATCTTTGTTAGAAGTCCTGGTCTCGCTAATAATTAATGATTCCTTTGAAAAAGCACGAATTTCTAGCTGAAAAAAACATTTTACCACAAAATCAGTTCGGGTTTTTATCTAAAAACTGCACCAGTGACTCCATGTTTTCTACATGTTAACTAAGCACTAAACAATAATCTTTATGCTGTCACTGTTTTTTGTTCGTTTTGTATACCTTTTTATATTTTTATTATAATTTAACTTTACCTAAAAAGTTGCAACACGTTTCCTTATCACAGCTCGTATCTGACACACTTCTTACCAAATGTCTTCGATTTCTTCGTGGCGAAGATTGTAGAGGTCTAGCTATCTTTAACGCATCGATTGTTTCTCGAATCTCATGCGGGATTGTTAATCTTCTGTTTGCCAAAACGGCGCCGTCACTGTTTTTGTGGATATCGGCTGCTACCTTACTAGAAAGAATCGAGTAATATATTATTTTAATAAAATTATTAGTACTAAGCAATTTTCTTGTGGCATCTAATACAATTAACTATTTTTATTGGGAATAAGCCACAATTTTACTTTAAAATAAGTTAATTTTGACGTTGCAATTTCCACTTCGGAAATCGTCCTCAAACATGTATTGTATGGACTATGAACAAAACCACTCAAGACAGGTTAGAATCCTGGGAAAGAAGGTTGTTTTATGAAATAAAATGGTGCTAGGATAGTGAAACATCCAAAGTATATCATCTAGAGTGTCATTTCTTGTTCTGAAGCTGAACAGTAGATATCAACTAAAAATTATCTCCAACAACAGACCATACAGACGAAGAAATCTAAATGTTTTATGACGATATATCTACTGCGCTTAATGACTTTCGTACTCAATTCACAATTTTATGTGGCGATTTTAATGCAAAAATAGGCAGAGCTAGAAGCATCCTTGGGAAAACTCAGTTTCCTAGGAAGAAATGACCGAGGAGAAACGGTCCTAGGATTCCTACTCCAGAATAATTTATTCAAGATAAACAGCTTCTTTCACAAAAAGATGCACAGTAGATGGACCTGGGAAAGTCCAAACGGTAGAACAAGGAACGAAATTGACTACATCATGAATGACAAAAACCAAATAATTAAAGTAACAGTACTCAACAAGTTCACCACAAGTAGTGACCACAGAATGATACGAGCGAAAGTACAACTAAACATAAAAAAGAGAAAGAAACATAATGACTAAAAATAAATATCATGGTATCTGGGCATCCTCATTAGATATTAACCAATATCAGGCACAAATCAATAATAAGCTACTACTGCATGAAACCTCTGAGAACGATCTTAACGACTTGAATAATTGCATCATAAATGCCTTACAAGAAAGTCACCGAATGCACTATCCTAAAAGAAAATCATGCAACAATGCGACAATGGGAAATACTGGCACAGGACCGACAAACATGGAAGGCAATTTTAAACGCGGCAAAGACTCATGAAGAGTTGTAGCGCTATTGATGATGATGATGATGATGAAAAGAAAATCAGATAGTAAAATAAGTCCATGGACTGAAACGCTGCTGGATCAAAGAAGACAAATGAGAAGCGATAAGCGAAGGTAGATGAGATTCGACAAGCGTTAAGAAAAATGAAAAATAACAAAGCCCCAGGAGAGAATGGAATTGGAATAGAAGCTATCGTAAATGGAGGAGATATGCTATTAAATCTAGCATATGTCTAACAATGTTAAATCTAGACCTCGGCTAGAGGTCTTTCTTGTGTTTTGTTTTGACTATTTGTCCAGGAGACTTATGTAAGTACCCCTTTGTTTCATTTTTGTAGTTTCCCCAATCCAAACACCTTGCCATTCACTTATCCACGACCCAGCTACTCCAATTAAACCCTGAGTGCCGTTTGAATAAGTTTCGTTTATTTTGCTTGCTTAACTTTATGAAAGTTAAGAATAACGGATAAAAGTTAATAGAAGGCAAAAATAAGAGAAGTATATCCCATATCAAAAACTGCATATCCTATAGCGAATATTGTACTGTTAAACTGGCAAAAGATCAAAGAAAAATATTGAATATAAATTACCATACCTTCTGATGTCGTGGAGTAGGATGTTCCACCCTATACACATGACTAGGCGGTATTAATATCTTTTTTAAGACATCTTCTTTGACTTTCTCCGAACACTTAACGCCACCACGTGGACAGCAGTCAAAAGAATCACCGGATTTATCCATTTTAACAATTGGTCCAACTATATCACATTCTGTGGTTGGTTTTGCCACAACAGCTGCAAAATCTTTGACTTTCGGTTTTTTCGTTTGAGGGTTGTTCTTAATTTTTGGAGCCGGCTGATATTGGTCCAGTATAACTTTGGGAGCTCTTCGTATCGCCAAATTCTCGATAACGTATTCGTACTCGGTGAATTCGTGCCCAAACGTTTTTATTAAAACTTCTTCGCTGGTTTGTTTGGGTCTTTTGATGCACGGAAAGCAGTAGTAGAAGAGACTTTTTTTAGGATTTGGCGGCATTTTTTAATAATATAGAAATTTGGTATAAGTGTCTTTTGTGTATAATTATACTGTCAAAATAAATTTGATTGACACTATAGATAATTTAGGTGTCCTTATTTTATCCGTCTTTGGACATAGATCTTCTCTTGGACTGGTCTGTATTCGGTGCTGATGTCATCCATTTTGTATATTATGTTTGTTACCTTTACTTTTGAGGTTTTTTTTTTTTAATTTCTAAGTCTTTTACTATCTTAATAACTTAATACCTATGCTATTTGGTCTGATCCTGGCTCCTCATCATTCTTTAAATGGTGTACAATTCTTCTAATTTTAATCATTGGTCGGAGGTATTTTTTGTAGTATCTGCGTAATCCAAAGATATTTGGGAGTTAGCCTATCTTCTGTCTCCTACAGATACTTAATATAGTACTAAATAAAGAACTTACAAACTAGGTTATATAAAGAAAAACTAAAGGATACCGTTTGAAAAACCGTTAAAACAAAGGGTGATCCTAAACATAAAATATTATAGACCGGGATACCTTAATAGTTATTTAACCAACAAGTGTATTAATAAGAGCGATTAACAATTGAGATATTTTAATGCGTGAGCGGAGCGAGTGCGTTAATTTTCGAGATTGTTACTCGCCATCTTACTAAAATAGATCACCTTTAGTATGTACAAAGTCACTGGGGGAGTTATCAAAAATTATATACAGATGGTTCAAAAATAGACGGCAAAGTTGGATATGCTATATTCTACCCCCAAAAAGTATAAAAATAAACAACAGATTACCCGACAAAATGACAACTTTCACAGCTGAACTGATAGCAGTCAAAGAAGCCTACAAAATATGTATGAACTAAAAAGAACTAAACTATGTTATATTTACAGACTGAAAAAGCATTGTACATTGCCAAAACTAAAATATAATTTACATAATTTTGTAGAAAGTTATATAATCAGTGACATCATAGCACTGAACAGTGAAGCTTTGAAATCAGGCAAAAATATTATATTGTGCTGGATAAAAGCACATATTGGTATAAAAAAACAACGAAATAGTAGATGATCTGGCTAAAAAAGCGACAACGAAAGAATGCACTCTGCAAACCTATAAACTTCCTATGGGAGATTTAATATCTGTAATCTAATCAGGTCTCCCAAACGGACAAAATGGCAGGGACACTACAACAATTCAGACAAAGGCAAATTTTATAAAATAATCCAATCCACAATTTCCGTCAAGACATGGTTTAAACAAGTTTCCAACAGAGGCTTCCTCAAAACTATTTGTAGAATAAGAAGCAATCATTGTATGACTCCGGTCTACAAAAGAAAAATGCGACTGGCAAATAATAATGAATGTATATATGGAGAGCTAGCTGATCTACAACATATGCTGTTAGAATGTCCTTTATTTCCTAATCCTAATTCCTAATTATATCCTAAATTTTTTACCAAGCTAGTTCAAGTTAATGTTCAATTACCTTCTAATCTAAAACATCTTTTACAGTCAAAGAATGTAGATGTATATAAAATTTTATGTAGTCATATTAATTGCTTAAAATTAAAACTTTGACAAAAAAAACATAAAAAAATAATAAAGAATAAAAAAAATGAAGAACAAATTAAAAAAAAAAACAATAAATAAAATAAAAAAAAAAGTTACTAAGAAAATCTAAACCTCCGAGGTGTCGAATCGGGTTTATGTCTTAGCGTAGTAATAAAAAATATAAATAAAAAAACTAAATAAAAAAAAAATAATTAAAAAAAATTTTTAAAAAAGTAAAAAAAAAATAAAAAAATAAAAAAAAGATCTAAAAAAAAACAGAGTAAACTAGTAAGTAAGTTTCTAACATTCCATGTCTTAACTGTCAGTACAATACAATAGTTTTAAATGTAAATACTAACAATATCTTGTGTAAAGAGAGAACTCAAAACAAATTGACTGGTTGTCAAAACCAGTGCCAATAAAACAAACACACACACACAATTCACGAGTTCGTTACAAAACTTTTCCGTCGACCGTACTTTTCAGAAATAAATATATCTTAGTTTAAATTTTTATTTACTTAACGATAAACAACATTTTTTTTAGCTTTCATTAACTTTATCAAAAGTTTAATTTTCCTTAGTGGGAGTTTTATTATTATAAACATTAATATTCGAAATAGTACAATTACTGAAATTAAATGAAGGTATTGATAAATGATTATCGGCTGTATATCATTTTCACAAATTTATATTTAAGTCTTCTTGGACCTCCGTAAATTCTGTGATAGAAAAAGAAGCGGTGGTGCTGAAGGAAACACTTTGACAAGTTTTAGTGGTATTTTGTCCCAAGAGTTTTTCAGCCGTCTCAAGTTTCATCTGCATAGAATTATCTATTTAACATTCTGCTACAGCAGTCGACTTCCAGCCACCTAGTCTTTTAATAGCTGCAAAGTCTGCACCACTGTCACATAGTATTGAGGCAGAGGAACGTCCAAAACAATGCCTAGTGTAGAGATGCAGGTGCTCTAATTTTAAGAATTTAGCAATAACGGAAGGAATTTTGGAAAACGTATTTGTGCCAACTGGCTGTGTGGAACATTTTTTATTTTTATAAAATATGACAAGTCGTTTATGTGGTGTGTGTGCCGGTCTTAAAGAAATATAGTTTTTGATCGCATTGAGAATGGTATTTGCTTCGTTATCTACTATGGTAAATATTCTATATGTGTGTTTTTATACTTTTATTGTGACAAAAAACTTTGACTCCAAGTCTTGAACGTTATTTGTTTCTAATTTCAATAATTCGTCCTTTCTTAACGCACCAGCCACTCCAAAAACCAACGCATCCTACAAAATGAATTGTTATGAAATAACAATAAAGTGTTAAATATATAAACTTAATTTACTGGTTTACCTTTATCATTAAAAACACGTCGTTAGGAGCATCAGAGATGAATTTCTGGACTTGCTGTTTTTCAAGTGTTTCTGATTTCTTTGGTACACAACCTGTTCTTTTTTCTTGATAAACATAATTAACTTATTATATTTAGATACATCAATATTTGATTTTAAAGTTAAGGTTGATTTTAGCATCGAATATTTGGGCCACAAACTTATAATATAATAAACTTATAATAATACGATACACAATATCGTATTATTTTTCTCTCGTCACACCATGCAATAAATTCAGCGTATATTTTTTCTTACAACACTCTGCTTTTTTCAGGCAGTAAACTTAAAGATATTTCATTTGCAGTTTCTGCCACTTCTGGTGGAGTTAAATTAAACTTTTCGTCAATATCCATCTTTTGATTTTTCAAATACACAGAATTTTAAACAATAAAGTAAATAATGGTATACAATGACAGATAGTACTAACAGCGGCTACTTCATTTTACATTTTTTAGTGGGAATATAAATGTGTATATGTTTGGTTGCCTAAACCACAGGTCACTGCCAATCACAGAGCGTTTAATTAATTTATGCAAGCAATATATGTTGTGTTGCCTATAGAGAAATCGTTCATTAATAGACATTTATTAATAGGGGTCATTAATCAATGATTTTAAGAGTGTTAAAATTGATCATAAATGGTCGGTCAACGGAAAAATAATATATAGACTGTCGAGCTTATAATGCAGCAAATAACAAAAAACATTTCCAAGAAAAAACATTACATATTACAATAGGAAAGTAAAATTTTAATTTAAAGGAATTAAACCTAATTAGGAACAAAGGAAATAACAGCAGAAATCAACCAAATCTAATTGACAGCTCTTAAATCAGTATACATCGCCAAAACTACTCTACTCACTCCATAGACGTTTCGTCACAGCCAATTTATACTGAATTAAATATTGATGACTTAAAGCACACTTTGTATGTCCATTTTTTTCTATTACTGAGTTATGCACTGTACCCTGATGACCTCCTAACAATCTATCATCCTGCACAGACATTGCAGGTCCTAAAGCGTTTGGTGTGGTAAAAATGACATTTCAAAACTGTGAAGTAAGTTCAAAAATGTGTTATGAAGGCAACAATTGTTGCATGTCCATACATACAATATATGTGCTCTTAGCAATCAAAAGAGAAAGGGCAGAATATTGTATGTCCAGGACATGCAATAATTGTGCACAAAATAATATGTCACTATCAATAAGTTAACTGGAACATTAGCAGCTTGTGTAGTAGGCGTTTTTGAGGTTATAGTTGCTAAAGTTTTCTTTTTTGGTGTCAATTGAAATCATTGTTTATGTTTTATCGACAAAGCTAATGGAAAAACGACCTATAAGTTATAAAATGTTGCAGTTAGCCCTGAGTAACGAATACTTCAGTGAAAATGAACCACCTAGTGAGTTGACAACTATACAACTCCATCAAAATTGTAAATAAGTAACCATTTTTATAAATTTACGTATACTTCATCTAATTTACTTACCGTTGCACGTCAGTATCATTGACAGAGATCGAAGTTGACATAGTTGCTAAAGTACAAAAAATCCTGACTCCATTTTAAATCAAAGAGGTCACATAATTATTGCAAAAGTATTACCATCTCTTTACAACGACATTTAAATTCTTACGTGACATTTTTTAAATAAAACTCACTAATTTTGTTCTAAAAAGAACAGATTTTATTAAATAGGTAAAAATATAAAACAAGAGGTATTCACTTTAAAATTCAAAATAATAAAGTACAAAAAGTGTCAACACAGCAAATGTGAAATAAGTGTTACCAATGGACCACAGGAGTGATGACGTAAATTTTATTGACATCTGTCAGTTTCACTTTCCAAACAAACCTTGTTTAGTGTGGATAATTTGTATTTTTCGTTATTTTTTCATTTATTTTATAGAATCTTTCCGCTTTTTGAAATATTTAAGTATTCTAATAGTTACTACAATAATTTTACTTCTTCTTCTTTTTGTGCCACTCCTATTGGAGATTGGAAATCATCAAGGCTATTTTGACCTTGTTTACGGCTGACCTAAAGAGTTCATTAGTGGTGCAGCCAAACCACTCTCTCAAATTCCGCAACCATG